GCCACCCTGGTTCGCCGGAACGGCGCTGGAATTCGTTGTTCTCCAGTGCGTTGTCGCGAGCTTCTCGACTGACATTTTTCTGGGCAAAATTGGAGCCGTTGAGTTCTTGTTTGGGATGAATTGAATCCATGTTTGAGGTCGTCTATGTGTGGGCTTTCTGCCAATGGTGAGATCTGGTCATGGGGGTGGCCGGAGGTGGTGTTTCCAGCGTTTTTCAGATTTTTTGGCAGCTAACTTTGAGCTTGAATTCCGGCCAGATTACTTGATGAAATTGGGAGGGGTTTGTTGGTAATTGATGGGGGGGTTAAAGGCTTTCCAATGGGAGGGGTTTGTTGGTAATTGTTTGGGTGGCCGGAAGTCATTGGAATTTTGGTGCATTTATACTGTCAGAGATGAGGCTAAGAAAATGAATTTGCACTTCAGGTCCTGCAATTTGAAGGGGCCTATGTTTGTTAATTTTGGTTTCAATTAGAATAAAGAAGTCCCTTAATTTTGTTCAGTAACTATTTTTGAAAGTGACTGAAAGTTGAGTGATCGTTTATGCAAAATTGGAACTTCAGTGACCATTTTGAAATTTTGCTGTAACTTCAGTGACCATTTGTGAAATTAACCCATTGGAGAATATGTGGTAGAAAAGTAATGAAAAGTTTTAGATTTGTGTGTAATATTATTTTATTTGATGAATGTGTAGTTGAAATGAAAAAGGAGGAAAAATTAATGTAATATAATGGAAAAAATTTGTGTACATTTTAGGTGTTTGAATAATAATAAAAAAATAATTTAACTTACACGTGAATAACTTATCTCTAACAATTTAAAATTTTAGATAATATATTTTAAAGACTATATATATATGGGTTTATGTTGGTACTAAACTACTGCATCATCCAAAAACTTAGGGGCCGTTCTTTTTGTGTTTCAATTTTGTGTTTTGAGTTTTGAATTATTTTGTATTTTGTGTTTTGAGTGTCTGTTGTGAAATTTTTGAAAATATGTTCTTTTTGTCATTTTGAAAAACTGTTTCTGAAAATCTAAAAATGGAAAACACGTTTACTTTAAAATTTTGAGAAATTTTTTAATAATATTTTATTCAAGAAATCTGATTATTTAATAAGTTTTAATAGTTTAATGTTAATATAATATTAAATAACATATAAATTTTGAAGTTGGTGAATTTTGAAATATTTTTTTTTCCAAAAATAAAAAACATAACCTAAATTAAATTTGGCAAATCCTTATTTTTGTCCTTGTACGTAACTTGTGACAATTTTATTGAGTTCATGTTAGTTCTTGAAATGGAACTCAACACACTTCCTCTAAAAGATTTATGAACATTTCCTTTATGTTACATATAAATACACAAGCACGGTCAATAACCCTACGTCGTATATTGCATTTGTTCTTAATCGATCCAAAATTGTTGAAACAATGCCTACAGTAGATTTGCTTAAATAAAGGGTGAAAATTCGAAAAGATTTAAATAGAATACATCCATGATTGCAAAGAGGAGACTCAAAAGAACAGTTAACTCATAATCTCTCAAACAAACAGGCAAAATACATGATTAATGGCTTGGATGAAGGACACAACAGCTATACCATGCACTGTCTTCATTTCTTTCGGTTCTTACTTCTACTAGCTTTCACATATTTTCGACCTTACTTGCCACCACCACCACTGCCCAACGAGAAGCTCCTACCCGCATTGAATTCTAGACCGGCTGATGCCTGAAATGAAGAAGGGTTCTGTGAAGCAACTTGATTTTGCTGGCCAGCAAACTGGAAGGGACTAGGTTGTGATTGTATTGTTGACCCAAACATGAAGCCAGGGGGAGAAGGTGAGATGGTTGGTTGACCAAATGAAGGAACAGAAGATGCAGACGACTACATGGTATCCTCGGCCATACTGTTATATGCATTCATCTGATCATCGTCAGTCTAGGCAGCAAAAGCAAGAGGATTACCAAATACTGGTTGCGTATGAGAAAGAGATGGTGAAGATAACGCTGCAACAGAGGCTATAGTAAACGAGAAAATGGGGATTGATGAGGCCTCAGTCAATGAATTAAATACCATTGGTGTAGTACTTGTATCTTCAAAGGAAGATGTGATGCACCAAAGGCAAATCCAATGGATGGGGACGGAGAAGTAAAAGTAAAACCAAGATTAGGAGACTTGGGACTTTGCCAACTCGGACCAAATAAGTTAGTAGCTGTAGCTGCAAAGGAAGATGATGAGGCACCACTAGCTGTTGGCCCATTGCCAGGGCCAACTGCATTGCTTTCAGACGAGGAAGCTACATAGCTAAAACAAAAATTAATGTTTGCATTGGGAACTTCATAATTGGCCAAGGAATATGCAAATGATGTATTGTTAGCGATACTGCAGTCTGCATGATGGTAAACACAATGCAATGGAACCTGAATTTTAACTTTTAACCAAGTAATTACAATACAAAATCATCAAGTATATTAGTTTCAAGCACAAAACAACAGACATGAAATGAACAACACACAAGCCATGAGTAGAACTCCAAAAGTAGAAATCTTGGAGTACTCTGGTTCAGATAGAAGGAAGAAAAAAAACACATATTATGGAGGAAGAAATCTTGGAGTACTCTGGTTCAGATAGAAGGAAAAAATCTTAGAGTACTCTGGTTTAGTAGAAATCTTGGTGTCTAATAGGTGTTCTAGCCAACCATGGCAAACACACCCACAGTATAAATTCCAATCTACTGTAAAATTGAAAATTGTTAACACTTAAAAAGAGTGGTACACTCCATCTAGACATGGTTGCCTCAATGTAATTAGCACTTTGTATGAAGTGCAAGAACACTCAAATAAAATACACGCTTGTCCAGATAGAAGGTTCAGTAACAACACTAACAACAGTAGCCATCAATTGATTGGAGGACATGAGTACCACAAACAGTTTTAGTTTGTATACAAGAAGCTTATTCCACAGATATAATATTGGCTACTAGCTTTACATTCCCTTCTATATTCCACAGATGGAGTTCTTGGTTCAATAAACTAACAAGTAAAAACTTGTTGTCTTTAGATAAATCAAATAAAATAATAGTATGATCCTCTTCAATGAATTTCTCTGAATTTTCTTGAAAGGCAATTGATCAAGTAGACCAAAAAATATGACCTCAAAATATCTACAATGTTGTAAATATAACACTTGTACATAAAATTATTACAACAAGTCATCCAGTGGCACTATCAAAACATTCAATGAAAAAGGAATAGAAATTAAATAAAACGAACCATTAGATCAGTCAAGAAATTCAAACTCGTCATTCCTTAGGTGTGCCAAAAATTTCAGTAGCTTCCCATCACGCCCCAGAACCTCATCCACCATGAGCTCCACTTTATAAGGCAAATTAGCTGAAATCTTTTTCCCCTTATGAACCCCAACATACGGCTTCACTACACCCACATTTCTCGTCAACTCGTATTCGGGCACTTTAGACACATGGTAAACCTTCAATGGCACCTTAATCCTGACCTTAGCCCCAACTATCGACTCAGCTTTTTTCAACTCATCATCATTAACACTATCATCGTCAAGACTTATAGAGTTCGTAGTTGTAGCCGAACTGTCAGGGGCCGATGACGAGGCAGCAGCCAATTGATTATCTACAGTGGAAATTGAATCTGCGACAGATCTTATGGGGTGAAAATGGATCGAATGTGTCCTTCTTCTTGAAGGGTATTTGATTTTGGCAAAAGGGGTATCTGAGTTTGGGATTTTGGAGGTGGACACGTTGAGGAGCGAAGAAAAGAAAGCTGGAGAGATGGTTACGGCGATTGAAAGTGGTGATTTTTTTAATGGAAAATTGTGGGTCTGTGGATGTGGTTGAGATATTTTAGTGCTAACCAAACGGCTGCTGGGCTTTGGGAAATTGGAGGCAGACCGGCGTCGAAAAGCTCCTAATGGAGATCGTGGGAGATGTGGGGTAGAAGAAAATGGAAACCAGAGGAAGGGGATAAGTTGAAAACGGTGTTTCCCCTGTGTTTTTCTGATTTCACCGTGTTTTGTATCGAAAAAGGTGAAAACGTAGTTTTGGTTGTTTTGTGTTTCTAGTACAATTTTTTTTGGTTTCCAAAATTCATTTTTGAAAATGAGAAAGAGAACGAGTTTTCACCGTTTTGAAAAATCGAAAATAGAAAAAGGCCCGAAAACACCAAGTAGAACAATTTTCAAACCGTTTTATGTTTTCAATTTTTCAAAACAGTGAAAACGCGTTCTCTTTTATATTTTCGAAAACGCATTTTTGAAAACATATTAAAAATTTACAAAGAAAACCCAAAATGACAAATTTTTCGTTTTGGGTGTTTTCAGTTATAATCAAGCCAATATTTTCAAAACGCGTTTTGGGTGTTTTAAAAATGATTTTTCACAATGCCAAAAAGAATATATTTTCAACAATATCAAAATAAACACTCAAAACGCAAAACTGAAACACAAAGAGAATAACTCCTTAATTTTTACTGAAAAGGAGATATTTATTTATTTATAACTTAACTAAACAATGTGCTATAAGGGCATGGTTACCAAAGCTAGGATTAAATTGTAACTTCCTTTTATTTTGTATTGCCTCTAGGGAAGCTTCGGGTGAATCTACTCCCACCTCCCACCTTCATCTCTGCTTCCTCGAATCCAATGTGATAATGTTACTGATGCAATCATAGCTCAGTCGATGACTAGTGAATGAAAATGAAAAGTTACTGTGATAATTGATGATTCGCGTGACTTGGTCTTTGAAAAGCAGCACAAAATCTTGGGATTTTTCTTCTATTGGGTTGCCCTTATGAATCGAAGTGTCTAATGCAGTTTAGTCCAACTTGGCAAACAAGCCAATACGTTCGTAATTTGTTTGAGACTCGCCAAACCCAATCTAGATCAGTAGGCTTAGTTTTTTCTTCCTTCTTTATACTTCATCAAATCCTAAAAATAGAAAGAACACATTCATCTAAATGTCAAGAGAGCATACAAAAGAAAGAGTATAATGTGAGAGATCTTACAGTACAAATTGTGGCTGCAGGTACCAAGTTAAGAACTGCTCCCAAATCTACAAGTATCACACAAAAACAATACAAAATATCATGGCAAAAAAACAATACAATTTTGGTTCTTGCATGTCAAAGGTTGGTTTTTTGGAAAATGATCCTTATGTAATAACGAGAAAAGTACAACCTGTAAATTCAGGTGGGTCGCTATGATTCCATCATATCTAATTAATATCTAAATACAATACTACTTGGGAAAGTTTTTTTCTTAATAAAAAAGTGGAAGTCAGTGGGCTAAAGAAAAGAGAGTAGTTTCTTTGCAAAGAAAATCAAAATTCAATGTGAAGATTAGTTTCAAGAGAGAAAGGAGGGCACTGCAGTATGAACCATGATAGAAAGTGATATTGGCGCGGCTCAATCTGAGATCGTCGTTTACCAAAAATACTGTACCATTGTAAATCCGTCTTCGGATTGAACCTCACCAACATCGCTTTCTTTAGCAGCATCCACCATATCTCTTAATCATATAGTACTGGTGGATTTTTGACATTTCAGCCAATATTCAAGTTTTGAGTGTCCTTCTTTCAACTTGAATATAAAGGGCAATGCACATATCTTGAACAACGAATGCTAAAAGTAGGGTCCCTTATTGCAAACAAAAAGACAATACAAGAATCATTTTAAGGCATCTTAAGTGGGACATGAGCTTGGGTGGATTGGTAAGAGGTGCATTGAAACTTATGTTGGTGGTTGGGGGTGGCAATTTTGATGTGGGATCATAAAAATCATGGTTTTAATTCCGCGGATCGAGTAAATTTAAGGCCCTTTTTGTGTGTGATTATTTCAGGAAAATGGAAAAACATTAAAACCAAAAAAAAAAAAAAAAACTTCGAAAAAAGATCATCTTTTAGGCATTCACTCCTATAGAATGTCTACCTTCTTCATCCATTATCACAAATGATACATAACACATATCAATTATATGAATACTTGAAAAAGTTAAAAGAAAGCGAAAACCAATAAACCCTTTACACAATAATATAATTGAAAAATGAGGGAATATATAAAATGCGTTAAAATGATGATCAATGGCCTCCATATCGAATGCTTTGTGGTCGTCTCAGAGTAGAAGCAACAAAGTTACCACAAGGTGAAAAGAAAGAATGATATGGTCGAGTGCTTTTTGGGCGTATCAGACTTTACGTTTGGTATTTATCGAACGGGGATTTGCCATCACAACGAGATATGTACATATGACCAACTAAATAGTGCGAATGGAGTTAAGAGGAAGAAGTATGCATAAAGGTAGGGTTAGCCTTGGGATGAGAAAGAGAAGAAGGTGAGGAGAATGATGTGAAAGGGGCTTTTAGGGTTCTCATGCTTAGCTTATGCTCAAAATATTAATTAAAAATCAAACACTCCTTCCTTGTCTTGCGCATGCACTTGAAATATTCTCTACCAAATAACTCTAACAAACCCCTTTTTTCTTGTACCTGTCTTTCATTATTTTAATTTACTTGACCCAGTTATTTAATTAAATTTTGTCTTTAATATTCAAATTTGGAACCTTTTCGAGTGGGTCATGCCCAAAAAATAAACTTGAACGAGAAAAACTCCAAACAATTATAAGTAGGTTGTTCGAGTCTCTTTGCAATCAGTTTGACCAAATGTGAATTGTTTCGATACAATTTGACACACCGTTATAAGACACGATTGACACCATTGGAATTCGATGTGATTCGGTTTATTATTGTAAATAAATAAAAATAAATGTTCAAAAAATGAATAGTACTTAAGAATTCAATAATTTATTGAATAGAAAATAATTAAGTGTTTATAAACATGATACGTTGATTGTGGATTCCATACGAGGAAATAAATGTGAGAGAAAACTCATGTGATGAGAGAGAGAGAGAGAGAGAGAGAGAGAGAGAGAGAGAGAGAGTTGGAAACACGAGTGCAGAATGTCAGCGAAGGATTGTCTATAAAGAATGTTCCATTGATGTACGTACAAAAGTTTCATCTTCTTTTACCTTTCCAAAAAACATGCACTTTCTTCAAAGTAATTGCTACCAAACGTTCTTATCATATTTAGCTAATTATTTCTATCATTTCAATTTTGACGTTTATACCCCTCAGATCGACCATTCTTCTTACAAGTTTTCATGATATTTTTTCAACCGTCATTGAGTTTTAAATTATTTTGAATAGTCATCGATTCAAAGCTATAACGGTTCTATTTTCATGCCCTCAATATCGCCAATTTTCAAATGAATGGAGATAAAGTAAAAGGTAACAAACATTGTTAAGATTTTTAGTCCATATAATTCAACATAATTTCTAGCCCCTATTTAGTGGGGATTAAAATCGAATTTTTAGTAGATTATGATAAAAGTTAACAGAACGTGTTATTGAAAAGTTGCGATTTCTATTGAATGTGTGGTTAAAAGTAATTATTGATATTGACTTTGATTAAAATCTGAATTTTAATCCTCATCAAACAGGGACGTGAACATTGGCGTCAAAGGAGGGGTAGCTTGAAGGTGAAATGGGAGACAATAGTCTTGGGGTTGATAACCCTTTTCTTTAATCTTTAATGATACTTTTTGAGACCCAAATTTAAAGAGGCTCTTTTTTCTTTCGTTTCTCTCCATAAAGTTGTTTCATTCAGACAACCTCACGATTGAAATAGGGACTAGGTGGCCCTCTTTTTTTCATGCACTCTAAAATGGTATGAACTCAAACATCATGTGACCTTCTAAAAAAAAATACTCGATTTTGATTTTTTTTGAAAAATCATACATTTTCAATAGAAAAATAATGTTTTTGAATTAATTCTACGTAATCAACGAGTCTGAGTAACCGAAATAAGTGGAGGGAAAGGCTACTAACGCGAATTCTAATTTGATTTCATTTTTCTCTCAATGTGCGATCATAAAATTTCGCTCCAACTTGTTGAGTAATTTTGATTTTTAAGTCACCGTTTGTGACTTTAAATTATCTAAGCTTAGTGCCGGGTATTGTCTCACAAACCGCTTCATGGAAGCCTATGTTAAACTGTTAAATAAATTTGTCATACACATTATACGTAACTGCTATATGTAATTTATGTGTGAGAGATTTCTAGGTTGAGAAAAATCAATTGAACGTTTTAGCATGTATTTGTGACACTAGGACAAAAACATGGGACTAATGGTCAATTTATTATTGGTGGGTCCATGTTCTATTTTCCCTTAGACATTGTGAAAGAGTGCAAAAAGGCAATTCCTTCATTTATAACTTATACTCATTTTTGTTGCCGATAAGAATTCGTTCGTAGGATATTACCTCGTTTAAAAGTTTAAGATTTAAATTTATATAATAATGACAAGACTCAATTGAACACTTTTGTCTAATCTAATAACATGCTAACGTACTCAATTTTATGTCCCTTCCTCCATGTGGTGGATGGGACTTTAAGAGAGTCAAATGGAAAAATATTGTAATGAAGTCAAAGAAAATTAGGGGGTGTGTCTCCCATTATTGGGAGAAAAATAGAGTTCTTATAAAGTAAATTTAAACCAAAAAATTTCATGACTTGCAAAGTGCCGACCTTGCTACTGACTTACGAGATAAATGCGCACGCATGCACGACATGCCACCAAAAGAGAGAAATCCTTCCCACTCTTACTTTTTTACACTCCAATGTCGCCACCCGTGAGGGACATGCTCTTTTCTCTGTCTAAACTATAACTACAAGCATTATGGCCAAAAATAGACAAAAGCATACTCTTGTTTACACTTTTAACCATTTTTTGGGGGGGTTAATTTTTATCTTTTATATGATTTTCAAAGGATAAATTTCTCTAGGGGTCTTCATCCTTTCTGTTTCGATCACCTCATGTCCTGAAATTTTGAAGTTGTGGACACGGAATCCCAACTCAAGGGAAACCAATAGACGTTAAAATGATACACGGCAGGTTTGTGATTCTTTTACGGGTTATATACATCTAGGAGGTCATCGAAATGGAGCGAAACTATTTTTGAACAATTATACCCATCAATCATTTATCACGTGCCTACCACGTATCCGTTAGCTGTCTAAACAGAAAGAGGTAAGGGTCAACGATCAAAGACTTCAATAGAAACAAGCAGAAGTAAAAAAAGATTATTAAGATTTAACATTGTAAGATAATCATAAAAAGATAGCATAAAATATGTCGATCCTCAGTTGGGACGTTCCTTTTCATGATCTTGTTAGTGCTCGATATAAGTTATACTCCTTCAAAATCCCTCTTGAATCAGATTGAGTACCCCGCGAACGAACTTGCTTAGGGAACAAATGCATCCTGGCCTATAATCTATGTTACCTTCAATCAAAAGCACAATCCTAGCTGCTACTTCCCTTTAAGTTTACAATATGCGCATAGGCCGGATCCCAAGAAACCGAGAGATTGACCCACAATGTTTAACTGGAAGAGAATCACAATCATTATCATCAAAAATCAGACGACCCGGATTCTTTACATGGTGGATGAGAAAAGTAAAGATGAAAAAAGTTCAAATAGATATTGATGCTCACCAAATCAAAAGGAAGTCCACCGAAGAGTAGCCAGCCAAAACCAATTGTAAACAGGTCCTACATGAAAATTATCTTTATGTCATCACATGACATGTTTTAGAAATGGAAAATCGAAGTTGATTTAACTGTGACATACGTAGCATTTGGGAAAAAAAGATCGATTTAAGTACTTTCTCGACATACCTTCAGGTTTCCACATATTGATTGTGTAAGTGCTGAATTGACGGTCGTGTTCAAAAATACGGTGTAGTTCAATAAGAAAGCCACGACACATGACAAAAGCATCACAGCCTGCAAAGATGTGAAGAACGAATCAATCAACACTCCATATTATAAGCTAATATTAGCTTCCACTGTCCATTCTACATTTTATTGAATTTCAAGGAATTTTGAAAAAGAAAATGTAACAATGACATCTTCACAAAATAGTATCTGATAGCAGTGAATAACATGTAAACAGAGTACGAATGTGATTTGAAAGCCATAGAGACTTTCTAGGACATCTGAACTTCCACGGAGAACTATGCTAGTTGTAAAAACCTGACACACAAGTTTCTTGAGTGTTCGAGTTAATTGATGTATGAAGAATTGAACTACCTACTCATGAGTCTTATTGATTTGCAAAAAATAAAAAATAAAAAACCAAAAAGTGCGAAATCACAAATGTAAAGAAAAACAATCGGTGATAAGATTTTTCTCCCATTGCTCATGTTTAGATTCAAAGAAAACGAAGCACTTGTGTTAGGAATTGTTTTGTTTTGATACCGAATAAATTCCAGACAATGATGCAAAACGTCGGCATATATTTTAGTGAATTGATTACCAACAACCAAGTCTAAAGGCTCGACCCGAAAACAATGTGAGCCTTTGGAAGTAACTTAAGAAATTAATGTTGCTCATGACCCATATATTCATTTATTGGACGGTTCTTGATTCTAACGCATTTATCCTTTTCTTGGCCCGACTAGAATCTAACATGTTCCTATATATAAGTCGCTTACCCTAGCCGTTTTTTATTGTGTTTGATTTGTGAAAAATTGGAGAGAACGTGGCTGCGACTGTGAGAGTTGGTATTCCAAAAACCGGCTGTTGCTTTGTGCTTCCAAAACCTTGTGTCTGCTTTTGCATTTTATTCTTCTTTTGTGCCTTATTCATTTGTTTTCTTCTTGCCTTTGTGGCTACAAATCAACACCAATATCTTATACTTTGTGAGTGAGACTGAGAAGCAACCGAGATGTATATATTAGTTGTGGGTTGGAGCCGTTTGGATTTGTTGTTTCGTACAATGACATATGAACTAGTGGAGAACAAATTGTCCAAGGATTAATATACTTAGGTCCGAATAGCTCGAGCTTTTAGGTGAAAATTAGATTATGCACGTCTACATGAAGGCCTGAGTCTTCATCGAAGAACACTCCAGTTCACTTGCATATAAATACTAGCATTTACACTTGAAATGCATTTAACTTTCAATTGTCAAGTGAGAATGACACATGAATAAAATTATTATTCTATGTGATCTAAAATAATTATAAATATGGGTTAACCACTATCTAGAGCTTAAAACTGCAACATTTTGAATAGCTCCTCAGACCACTCTGTTCCTAAATGTGGATGCATGCGAGTGTGAGAGAGAGCGATGGACTCGTCTAATTGTCTTATTTAGAAACACAATAGAAGCAAAGATTGAAGTAGAGATGCGACGCATTACTTTACTATATCAAGAAATCACATATGCAGTTAGAAATATATACTTCATTCCGTAAAGCTCACCTGGAAACCATGTGAGTACAAGTATGGGAAATTCATGGTCGATTCCAGTTCACCTCTGAAATATGCCCATATTAGCAAGATTGGTCCGCAAACTATTCCTACAGATTCCGTGATGTGATTAGTAGACTGGATATTCCAACAGAAGAAGCTTGAAACAACAATATGAACAAGATTTGGGAAGTTTTGGTCTTACCAGTGCACCACATAAGGCCAAAGCTATTAAGGCCACTGGATTTTCCTAGATAAAGAATAAAAATATCACGAGTTATTTATAAATGTCGACTTGACTCCACAACTGACACAAGGTAAAATGAAATAAAGAAGAAATATTACCACTCTGAGCTATGCAAGCGAGATTTATTGCATTAGCAATGTTTGAAATGATTACAATAGAATAACTGTAATAGTCGAATGACAAGTCGCGAGCCCCAGCGACGAATGCGCCCAATACGATTGCTCCTACACTGATAGATACCTCGTAAGCATTCTGAAAGCAAAACCCAATACTATATCCACAGCATGACAACATATGTAATAACATTAAAATCTACAATGACATATGATCATAGGTCTAAAGATACGGCAACATGAGCAGCATACGAAACATTCACACGGGACTCGCAGAAAATTGCTCTAACAAAACTGTAAGGAATGTACATGAAGAAGGACCAGCTAAAGAAATACTTACCTGCCAACAAAATATGATGAATGTTTCTGTCCCAGCAAAATATACTCCACCAACATTGTAAAAGCAACAGTTGTCCGTCTAAGGGCTGTGTACATGGGAACATTGATCCCGCGGATAGATTCCATAGAGATAACCTGTGAAAACAAAACAAAGAGATAAAAACTAGAAGGAAAACAAAAGATAACCAAAAGGAGCCCATAAAGCAAGATGTACATACCATGTAAAATAAATATGAAATTGTCAAAGGAAGGGTATGAATTATAGCCTTCAGTGGTACAAGTTTTGCCGGGTGATTGGTCAAGCCGAGTGTTTCATCGGATGTGAAAGAAATAATCTTCCAACATCTCAATGCATAGAGAAACAAACATGAAAAAAGCATCTGCAGCAGCAGAAGATGTTCATTAATAAATTTGTTAACTTGGAACCACGCATTCACTCAAATTCTTCATGTAAAATTGAACTGATAAACTATTTATCTATTAGCAGCTATAATCGAATTACAGGAAAACTATGTGTGCCTGGTGGATTCTACATGAAATACGGACATGAAGATATATGATTTCAACATAAGGTCCTAAATTGTCAAGATCCAGAACTGAACTTAAGTATCAACCTTCTCCTACGATACAATGTTTTGAACTTTCAGTCATAAATTTTATGTAGGATAACAACAAACAATAACAGAAGAGAGTCATACATCAATATAAAACGGCAAAAGAAAGATCATTCTGACACTAACTAAGATGTGTGGGTTTGTAGATTTACGTGTCAGATTGATCACGAAAAGGAGCCTGAACTATAGAGAGAGTTTCCAGCATAAGATATGATGTCTCAAGACAAGTTTTTGATGCTCAGAAATGAATGTAACTCGTGAAGAACAGAATCATCTCAAAGATGTTGCTTATATTGATCATTAAGTTCAGATGATTCTTGATTTCATAAGTAATTTTATTAAACTAGCATTTTATTTTCAGAAATGGGAACTTTGAATTCACGTTGAAAACAAAACTTGTTTCAGTTCTTCATTTTCATTCCCGAAATTGTTCCCATTTTCCATGAAATTCTATTAATTCAGTCTATCTGGGTATTTTCCAAAGGTAAGCATGCATATTTAATATTTATAATCTATTAACATATTCTCTGTGTGATTTACTGTAAGAACAAGATAGTTACCTGAAAAAGTGTGATGACATTTGCCGACGGAAAATTATACGAAGAAATTGCTGCTTTATTGAATATTACCAACAGAACTGCAGAATAAATTCAAAGGTTTAACAGTAGATGACAATAGCCAAAAATAGAGGAAGCAGAGCTTTTGCATATGAACACTATCTATACATCTCCTTCGGAACAGAATTAAGAGGAGAAAAAAGAAGAATCGAAAATAATCAATAGATTTCTTGACATTTCTTGACATAGAAGAAATTATGTGAGCCCACTCGTTGTCAATGGGCTAGCAAAGTTCTAATATTCTTGAAAAATGAACTTTATACGATTACATCGTCAATAATCCGACAAAAGGAGGATTATTTAGGGCAGGCTCAACGGATAATGGAAATAGAATAGCGGTTGGATTCTTAGGACTCCCGATCTTTAGAGATAAAGAAGGGCACAAACTTTTTGTGGGCAGAATGCCTACGTTTTTTGAAATATTTTTGATCATTTTGGAAGACGTTAATGGAATTGTTAGAGCTGATGTAGTGCACCTCTTTTGAAAGGTTGACGCCCACTTATACTTGCTCAATAGGTTCGGGACCAAGCAGGCAATTTTTAATAAAGAAGTTGTTAGTGATAAAAATAATACATAAACATAACAATGAGAACAATATTATTTGGAAGAAAGGTGCTGCATGTACTGCTGTCATTCTCTGTTACAAAAGTAAGAAAAATAAGTGAATAACATCCATATCACATAGACAAAAAATGATGAAAACCCGAATTTAAGCAGAAAAAGAACGCAGAACATGTCATAAAACTGGTAAGAAAAGAAAGTGTTAACTAACCAGCACATGCCATGTAAGAAATGGCAGCAAATGCTCCTTTCTTTGTCATGGTGGGGCTCTTCTTGCTGCCGCGGCCGGAGTCAGAAACCGGAATCAGCGGTGTCTTGGGGGATTCCTCCATGGAAACCATTGGAAAAGAGAGTGAAAAGGTGGGGTGGTGATTGAGAGATTTTTTAGTTTGTATAAACTGGCTAGAAAAAGCTGAAAATGTGACCTTCTTATAAGACATGGGAAGTGCTTGTCCAGTGAGGTCCACTCGGGATATTTTATTTTGTCTGGATTGCTAACAATAAATTTTGGATTCATGTTGGTTAGTCAACGAAAGAATTCCATTTAATTTCTTTTTGAATAGAGAAAATTTTGGATTCTGAATTACTACATCGGATTTTGGATTCATAATGTTTGGTCAACGAGGAATTTCATTTTCTATCTTGGCATTTTTGAACGAGGGAAATTTGAAGCTGCATATAGCAATATTCCTACAATTTTGGATGGTTGATTGTTGTGATGATGAGTGATGTAGAACAGATGGTTGAATGAATTAAAGAAAAAATTGGATCGAAAAGGGAAAAAATGTAATAATGCAATTGTGATGTCCGAACTCCGATTTGGATTCATGATGGATTTTAGCCATCCGAGTTCGTTTAAGAATCGAAAATTACTTTTAAAATTTTAGTGCTAGTTTTGTCAATTAGTTTATTTCGAATTCTTTGCAATTTTAGTTTGTTTAAACTTGATTTTCATATAACCCCTTGAGAATAAAGGTCAATTTATCATTTTTTATCATCTTACATTAATAAAATTTTGTGAATTTATTTTTCCATAATTTGGTGGATTCTAAAAATTGTGTTTTAAGGTTTTTGCTTGAATTCCTTATTTCGCGCTCCGTCAAGAAGATTTTCAATGCTATATATATATATATATATATACAGAAATGATCTAATGAGCACCGGTGCTCATCTTATCCTAAACACCAATGAGTTGGCACATTAATTCATTGGTGGATTGGAACTCACAAAATCTTTATCCACCAATGAATTAATGTGCCAACTCATCGGTGCTTAGGATAAGATGAGTATAACGTCTCCACCTTTCACTGTTATTGTGAAAAATGTCATTACCTTTCATTTTTTGACATTTTCACCCTTATTTCCACATTTCATTGTGCAAAAGGTCATTTTTATCCATTTTCTCAATTAAAAATTGTGAAATGACGAATATATCCTCCCCTTTAAATAAAACAAAAGGAAAAAAGAAAAAAACTAATTGTAAACATAGTCCTAACTTTTTTGAAAAGGGCAAATAAGTCTCAAATAAATTACTAAAAGGGTAATTAGCACATAATGTCCCTACATTTTACTATTATTGAGAAAAACATCCATACTTTTTATTTTTTTGGGCATTTTCACCCTTAATTATAATTTTATAGCGCAAACCATCATTAAAATGAGATTATAAACTAAAATAGATAGAAATGATGGTTTGCGCTATCAAAATATAATTAAGGGAGAAAATCCCAAAAAAATAAGTAAAATGTAAGGATATTTTTCGCAATAATAGTGAAAGGTAGGAACATTATGTACTAATTACCCTTTTAATAATTTATTTGGGATTCATTTGTGCTTTTCAAAAAAGTTGGGACTATATTTGCAATTAATTTTTTTCTTTTCTTTTATTTAAAGTGAAGGGTATTTTCGTCATTTCAGAATTTTTAATTGAGAAAATGAATAAAAATGACATTTTACAAAATGAAATGTGGAAATAATGGTGAAAATGCCAAAAAATGAAAGGTATGGACGTTTTCCACAATAACAGTGAAATGTGGGGATGTTATGTGCTAATTACCCTTTAAAATAATATTAAAATTGAAAAATGCATAATTACTCATATGTTTCGCATAGACATGTATATACTTGTAATACTTGATGCTCGATCGAAAGATATTTTCACTCATTACGTATTTTAGAATCTTGGTGATAGTTATCGTATTTCAGTTCCATTTATATATTTTTCATTTTAATATTGTGTCATAGACGTTAAACTTTTCAAACCTCGGTTTTTTCATTGTCAATTTCGAATTTTGAAATAAAAATCTTTTCTTTTTTTATCTCGTTAAAATTTAGTTTAAGGCATGATCATTTTATGAAGAAAGTTGTGAACATTTTATTTGAAGAAAATGGATCGTTGTCTACTAAATACTTGTATTGATTACAAAATGTGTTACAATTGCGTCTCACAAAAAAAATAAAAAAAATTTCAAGTTACGGTTGATCAAAACTTATCTTCTATCAACTATTTCACAGAAAATATTCAATAAATTGGCTATTTCTTGAGAAAGAAATAGTTGAACAACTAGATTATAAATTTGATCAAGACTTTTGCATTTAAAACGCAATGCGAGTATTATTCGTGTGATCGTTTGGAACTTTTTTGTCTTGTTATTTGATTATAGTATAAATATTTTAAATATTACATTTTGTTTGCCTTTTATTTGTTGAGTTATAAGTTAACCAATTTAATTCTGTAAAATTTTTATAAATGAAAAAAAAAATATGTATACTACGATTTGTGGACTAATTTATAAAGTCCAACTCGAATCCTAAAAATCTCAAATACAATCTCCAAATGGAATTGTAAAAACTGATGTTCACCTGATGTGAACTTCTGGGTAAAATGTTTTGAGAACATGAACCTAGGATCAAGGTACTATGCAAGGATATAAGAATCCAATTAGGATCAAGGTACTATGCAAGGATATAAGAATCCAAAGTACGGGACCAAATTATCGGAGGCAAAGTTTGGAGTTTAAAGTTCATACTTTGGAAAGTGAAGGACTTACTTTGAATAAAATAATACATTTATTGGGCCTCAATTTGACTTTTATTGAATGAATTAAAAGAGAAGATTTTAGGGCAGGATATATATACACCTACAGAAAGGGCAGCCAAAAGGTGGAGAGACGGCAGCCATTGAAAGAGAGGGAAAAAAAAAAGAACAAAAGAAGTGGTCGGAAGCTTGAGCAGAGAAAATGGGGAGAATTGGATTGATATACATATATATATAATCACATTCAACACACAGAAGCTAATTGGGAAGAAGGAGCTGAATTCTACAAATTATGAGCTTGTTTGGTATGAATTTTTGGGGGAAAAATTGATTTTTGACTAGTGAT